TCGCAGAGGAGCCTCCCGATCAAGACTTCATCCGAAGTCAGGCCTCGGAGACCCGACAGCGACGACAGTTACAGGTTCGAGGATGACCCGCCCGGATGAGGAACATGAAATGCTAACCCCATAGGGAGGCGGCTCCCGCCTGAGACCTCCTCACATCCTGCTCACAGACGGCGCTCCCGCTCGAGACTCCCTCCATATTCAGGCCAGGGGGTCAGCGATGACGAAGAGATGAGTGAGCGGGTGATGATGATGAATGGTGGTGGTGATGGTGATAATGATGATGATGGTGATGATGATGATGATGATGATGAGTGGCCGTGTGATGCTGGAGATGATTTGTGATGAAGAGGAGGAGGGAGATGTGGTGGTTGTGTGTTCCTGCGCGGGGCGCCCCGAGAAAAGGATGCTGAGTGGTGAGAGAGAGAGAGAGAGAGACAGAGAGAGAGAGCGCGCGTGTGTGTGTGATGCGCGGCTGGGTATGGTGATGCTGATGATGGCGGTGGTGGTAATGCTGATGATGATGGCGACCGATGGCCGATGGTGATGGTGACCGGTGGTGAATGACTGAGTCTGATGATGATGGTGGTGGCGCTAATGATCACCGATGGTGATGATGACCGATGGCGGGATGGATGTGTGAGTGAGGCGGAAGTGGGGGGGTCCTGCGCGGAGTGAGTCCAAAGAAAACAAGAAACCAACTTTGGATGTGGCAATTACTCCGACTACTACTGGTACTACTACTACTACTACTACTACTACTACTACTACTACTACTACTACTACTACTACTACGACTACTACTACTACTGCCGCCGCTACTACTACCACTACAGTGACTGCTACTACTACTTCTACTACTGCTGCTACGACAACTACGACCACTACCACTACTACTACAAATACGACGGCTATTACTACTACGACTACGACTACGACTACTACTACTACTACTACTACTACTACTACTACTACTACTACTACTCATACATCTATTACTACTACTACAACCACAACAACAGCTACTAGTACAACTACTACTATCACTACTACTACTATTCCTACTTCTACTGCTACTACTATCACTACATCTGCGACTAGACCACTACTACTACTACTACTACTACTACTACCACTACTGAAACTACTACTACTACCACTACTAGTACAACTACTGTCACTACTACCCCGCTGCTACTACTACTACTACTACTACGACTACTACTACTACTACCACTACCACTACCACTACGACTACCACTACTACTACTACTACTACTACTACTACTACTACTACTACTACTACTATTACTACGACTACTACCACTATTTTTACTACTACTACTACGACGACGACGACGGCGAAGACTACTGATTCTACTCGTACAACTACTACCACCGCCACTGCTACTACCACTACTACAACTACTACCACGGCTACCACGGCTACCACGACGACTACTACTACTACTACTACTACTACCACTACTACTACTTCTACTACTACTACTACTACTACTACGACTACTACGACTACTACTACTACTACTACTACTACTACTACTACTCCTACTACTCCTACTACTCCTACTACCGTCGTACTGCTGCTGCTACTTCCACTACTGCTACTACTACTACTACTACTACTACTACTGCCACTACTGCTACTACTACTACTACAAATACTACCACTACTGCTACTACTACTACTATTACTGTTACTACCAGTGCTACTATTCACTACTACAGGTACTGCCACTACTACTATTCTTCCACTACTACTACTAGTACTACTACTACTACGATTACTACTACGACTACTACTACTACTACTACTACTACTACGATTACTACGACTACGATTACGACTAGTACTAGTACTACTACTACCACTACTACAACTACTAGTACTAGTACTACTACTGCTACTACCACTACTACTACTACCACTACTACTACTACTACTACTACTGCTACTACTACTACTACTACTACTACTTACCCGTTACGAAAGTTATTCATCTTGAGCACTGACGACTAGGGCGTCTCCGAATGGCCCCCCCTTCCCCCCGTAGACTCCTAGCACGGCAGTCTTCGGCCTGGCTTGGCGGGAGAGAGTTCCGGGGTTCTCCCTGGTAACATTAAAAATATATAACCAATTTAGGATAACATCTCTCCCCCGTAAATTCACAAGGGAGAAATCACTCCCGGTCACTTCCAGGCAACTCTGAATCTCTCCCCGTATGAAACCACAAGGAAGAATCACTCCCATACCACTTCTCACCACAGCGCCCACACATGTCAATTTTAGCCAAGATGAGTTAACTTTCGTAACGGGGATGTGCTAGTACTACTGCTGCTGCTGCTACTACTACTACTACTACTACCGCTACTACTACTACTACTACTACTACTACTACCACTACTACTACTACTACTACTACTACTACTACTACTACTACTACTACTACTACTACTACTAAAGCCTACCCCTACTACCACC